TATCTTTAAGACAATAGGAAATATACACTATTTACATTATTTGGACTATTGTCCTCATCTTTGTTACCATATTTATTACAACATTTCGGCCGTTGTACACTCTGGCCTTCTGGTTGAAATGTCGAACTGAACCCTTTATTTCGCTTGCTGGAGTAGACTGTTCTAGCTCCTCAAGGACACATGACAATGGATAAACACTTTGTTTAGATCCAGTGACAATACCTGGTTAAGGCAGTGGAGAACTTGGAGAGGTGAATTAACAGGAGATAACTGATAACTGACATCCATTAGACATGGCACGTGGAACTGAACAGTCTACCCCAGTGAGTGAAATAAAGGGTTCAGTTCGACATTCCAGCCAATGAATAGGCTTTAAATTAACATTAATAAATATGAACAAAATGAGGAAATTTAAAAATAATGTATTGTACATAATATTTTCTCAGAAATATAGACAGATACTGAAAGGCTAAAAATGTAAAATTTATTTTTCAACAAAGATGAGGACAATAGTCCAAATAATGTAAATAGTTGCAATAATACTCATCTCAGAAATATAGACAGATACTGAAAAGGCCAAAAAAAATAATAAATATGGCAACAAAGATGAGGACAATTATCCAAATAATGTAAATAGTGCACATAATACCTCATCTCAGAAATATAGACAGATACTGAAAATGGTTACGTTTTTGTAATAAATAAGAAGGCAACAAAGATGAGGACAATAGTCCAAATAATGTAAATAGTGCATAATACCTCATCTCAGAAATATAGACAGATACTGAAAGGCGAAACGTTGTAATAAATATGGCAACAAAGATGAGGACAATAGTCCAAATAATGTAAATAGTGCACATAATACCTCATCTCAGAAATATAGACAGATACTGAAAATTAAGAAACGTTGTCAAAATATGGCAACAAAGATGAGGACAATAGTCCAAATAATGTAAATATGCATAAATACCTCATCTCAAGATATAGACAATACTGAAAGGCCAAAGCCAAATAATAAATATGGCAACAAAGATGAAAATAGTCCAAATAATGTAAATAGTTCATAATATATCATCTCAGAAATATAGACAGATACTGAAAGGCGAAACGTTGTAATAAATATGGCAACAAAGATGAGGACAATAGTCCAAATAATGTAAATAGTGCACATAATACCTCATCTCAGAAATATAGACAGATACTGAAAGGCCGAAACGTTGTAATAAATATGGCAACAAAGATGAGGACAATAGTCCAAATAATGTAAATAGTGCACATAATACCTCATCTCAGAAATATAGACAGATACTGAAAGGCCGAAACGTTGTAATAAATATGGCAACAAAGATGAGGACAATAGTCCAAATAATGTAAATAGTGCACATAATACCTCATCTCAGAAATATAGACAGATACTGAAAGGCCGAAACGTTGTAATAAATGAAAAAAAAAATGTAAAAAAAATAAAAAGAAATATAAGATACTGAAAAAAAAAAAAAAAAAAAAAGAAAGAAAAAAAACCCCCAAAAACCCAATAAAAACAATATTGAACTTATAATTCATTCATATTTAAATATAATAAAGAGTCTACATGGGTGATTTAAAAATCATGAAACTTGAGTCAGCCTTCAACACGTACTAAAGTGTATTACTTCTTACTAGGCTAAAAGCTCCCCTATCAATTGACATTTAAGCTGGCTCCTGTGTAGGGCTCTTGATTGTCCCTTCAGTTTGTTCAGGAGTTTGAGAGCCCCTAAGTCTTTGAATATTCTCAGCATTGGAATCTCTCCTGGCTGCCATTTGATCTGGGTTTTCATTTGCACAGGACTTTCTTTCCCTTGCTGCAGCCTGGGCTCTTTTGATTGTAATTTTTTGGATTTTGACGTCATCCTCGGGTCTGTTTCATCTACATTCGTCAATTTGTTTTGCTCATGCTAAGCCTAGAAAATACACTGTATAAAATTAACTATTTTTTTTATCCATAAAATTAAATGTGTTAAAATTATTTGACTTTTTAACAAGAAAAATCTCAAGTTGACGCTAAAAATTGCCACGAAGCATTTAAGATGGAATGATCTATTATGACATGTCACTAATTTTTATTTATATACATTGTAAATTATTTTCAATTTTTCTAGTTCAATCGTTCACCTATATTGCATATGATCCATTATTGTACATAATTAGGTTACAATAAAATTTGTATTTTATATGAATACTACCTTATGAAAATTGAAATATAGTAAAGTGTGTATGTGTGTTGGGGGGCATATCATAGATTTGGGCGGGAAGGAGTTCTGTGAAACCCTTCCACTGGCCATGATTGTATTAATTTTCTTTTGGGGAGATAACACTAATTTTTCCAAAAACACCTATTTAATCCATAGCTGGGGGAGGGTTGAAGAGATGGATTCATACTTTTCACAAGGGTATTTGTGCATAAGTGAATGTAACAAATTTGAGTAGAATTTGAAGTCTACTCTCCGATTTTTCATGACACCACCTGCACATCCTAGTAGTATTAATAGCTAGCATTATAATAATTATAATAATTACACACACACCTCAGTTTTTTAATTTAAGCAGGTTTGGTTGAAATTTAATGAAAATTCTTTGATTAATATTTTTTCTTCTTTAAATGGATCAGACCATTTTTCTGGTTTCCCTGGGACAATCATTCGATGTCACAGTTCAACATATTTGCATACACACACCCAACCTTAGAGATTTAATTAAGTTTTAGGTTTCTATATTAGGCACACATACTGACAAACAAAATGTTTGTTTTATCTATTACTTTAATGTTTTCTGTCATCTGAGATGAACCTTTTCAAAGAGAAAAAAAAAAAAGAAATGACAGAATTCACCTACTGTCTTTTATCCTAATGAATGTATTACTGATACAAAACTAGCACCTAGACACCATTGTATCACCCCAGAATGAGATAGTAAAATATGTATGATTATAAATGTTTAAACTATTAGTACAAATGAAAAATAATGTGTGTATACGTATATATTCAAGTTGGTTGTCATAAAATAATTACACTATTGTGAAAAAATTTAAAAAAAGTAAAGAGTTTGCTGCTTGACAAAGAGAAGAAATATTTAAAAAAATCAGACATAGATAGATGGAAACCGACAGACAGATATCGAGAGAGACGGAAACGGACAGACACAGAGAGACGGAAACCGACAGACAGATATCGAGGGACAGAGACAGATATATAATTTATATCTATAGATAGATACTAGACAGATATGGATAGATTTAAATTTAAAATTTCTGCATTCCCTCTCCTTCATGTGCATGTGCAATCAACAATTTCAAAATCATTTTAACCAGATGAAGTCCTAAAGGATGAAATGTCACATTTCAACTCTTCCATTTTGTGGCATTTCATCACCTTTCTGGATCACAAACAAGACTATCCATACATAGATAATCCTGTTATTTTTTATGGGTAATATGCTAGTTTGATTATAAATTTAATCCAAATATAGATTGTGTTTTATCAAATAAACCACACACCTACCTATTTATTGCTAGGTAAAAAAGAGTGGTTCCATTTCCTCTCTTTTTCACTCACTCACACACACACAAGAGGTGTAAACTACAGATACCAACAGTATTGTGAAAAAAAATCAATTGGTTGCTCTATTTTCCTCAACCAGTTTACAAATTTCCACTTTATAGATTACTAGGTAAAATAAAATAAAACAACCTACTCTTTGTACAATACCTAACTAAAAATATTTTGGTATCTTTGAAATGTACAGCATCGATCAATATCAGTTCGCACAAAATCAAATTTTTTTTCTTCAAAAATTAAAGAATGAAAAAAAAAAAATTCATACTAGTCTGACACAAGGCTAGAAGTATAGTTGGTATTTGCCATTACAATAATTATCAAATATTTATTATAGACATGTTAAAAGTATATATAAATATATGCAAACATATAAAAGCAAAGACAAAGAAGAGCAAGAGTCAGAAAAAAAAAATGTATCATTGTACCCATGTTTTTGTTCTCAATCCCCATTTTTATATATATATATATATATTTTTTTTTTCAACAACAATAATACCATCCCTGTATGACGATATAAACTACATCCTCGTCCTGGGTAAGACGATAAACTACATCCAACAGCAAGGTCTCTGATCAAGAGGTTTAGAGGAGCCTGGAACCACCACTTAATTGCTGGTTTTCCCAGGTTCACCCTGACCTGGGGTGGTAGCACCTGTTAGGGTCCCAATTGTGGGTAAATAGTTAACCCCCTAAACTGGGGTCAAAACACTATGAAAGTGTAAAAGTTGTTTTTAATACCAGAAATACTTTGTAAAAATTATTGCCAGCAATACATTTTCAAAAAAAAAAAAAAAAAAAAAATTAAAAAATAACCAGAAATAGATTTTTGAAGGAAAATATTACCAGCAATAAAAATTGTTAGCGTTAAATAACCCATTGGAGATAATATGCCGTAAAACAAACCAAACCAACAATAATAATGATAATAATACCATCACCACCATATCACGCAGATGGGGTGTATTTCGTTTACCCTAATCAGACTGGATGTCATAACGGGTATTTTGAGCTTCTTCAGATACTTGTGCTCCAGCATCATTTTATTGGTGTGCTGCTCTTTCAATGACAAAGACTTTTTTTTTTCTTTTTAAACCCATGCCCCGCTACCTACATTAAAAAAAAAAAAAACAACAACAAAAACGATTTCTCCACAGACAGGCACCCATGAAAATATTTCTCAGGTGCTAAAAAAATATTTCAGAAAAGTAAATTAAAATAAGACTTTAGAAAGTAAACATTATTTACGGTCTAAAATATAAACAAACAAACCAACAAAAAAGAGATAAGAATGCTTTCATCTACAACACAAAGAAGTTAGAATAAAATAAGTCAGTTTACCTACTTACCCTTTGCTTAAAAAGAACACCCAGTGTGTGTGTGTGTGTGTGTGAAGTGATAATGAAGGAGTCAAAATTTCTGAGTGGCTGATAGTGACTCTTTCTTACTTCTGTGTTCATAAGCAGTGAGAGGAGAAAAAAAGAGAGAGAAAAAGAAAAAGAAGGAAAAAAGAGAGAAAAAAGAGAAAAGAAAAGAAAAAGAGAGAAAAAGAGAAAAGAAAAAAGAAAAAAAGAGAGAAAAAGAAAGAGAGAGAAAAAAAAAAGAAAAGAAAAGAGAGAAAAGAAAAGAAAAAAAAGAGAGAGAAAAGAAAAAGAAAGAAAAAGAGAAAAAAAAAAAAAGAAAAAAGAGAGAAAAAAAAAAAAGAAAAGAGAGAGAAAAGAAAAAAGAAAGAAAAAAGAGAAAAGAAAAAAAAGAAAGAAAAGAGAGAGAAAAGAAAAAAGAAAGAAAAGAGAGAGAAAAGAAAAAAGAAAGAAAAGAGAGAGAAAAGAAAAAAGAAAGAAAAGAGAGAGAAAAGAAAAAAGAAAGAAAAGAGAGAGAAAAGAAAAGAAAAGAAAAGAGAGAAAAAAAAAAAAAAAAAGAGAGAAAAAAGAAAAAGAAAGAAAGAGAGAAAAAGAAAAAAAAAGAAAAGAGAGAGAAAAAAAAGAAGAAAAGAGAGAGAAAAGAAAAAGAAAAGAAAAGAGAGAAAAAGAAAAAAAAGAAAAGAAAGAAAGAGAAAAGAAAGAAAGAAAAAGAGAGAGAGAAAAGAAAAAAAGAAAGAAAAGAAAAAAAAAAAAAAAAAAAAGAGAAAAAGAAAGAAAAGAAAGAAAGAAAAAAAAAAAAAAAAAAGAAAAAAAGAGAAAAAAGGGAAAAAAAAAAAAAAAAAAGCAAAAAAAAAAAAAGAAAAAAGCCTTGTTCAAATTCTAATTTGAAAGAAAACTATTGTAGAAAAGACCAAACATTATAATATATATATATATATATATATATATATATATATATATATATATAAATGAATTAATGTAAAAATTATGTAAATGATCATTTACACCTTGTAAAATTAAATTTACAGGATATTTTATTTCAAAAGCTTATCCATTGACTTTGAAAAATCTTGTAAATTTAATTTTACATGATGAAAAATAATCATTTACATAATAGTATCTTCATTTTGATTTAATGAAACATATTGCTCTGTTTGTTATAAAAACATTGAGCTCTATGTGTGAATCAATTTTATTATTTAATATTTTATATTGTGTTAATAGTATTCACTTGGATTATATACCAACAGATTACTACCCGTAAGCAATTGGATGTCTAGTCACACTGATGAGCTGTGATACAGTGAAACAGTCTGTCTGTGGATGAAGATATAATGTTCCCGAAAATTAATTGGGTTGAGCTCTCTGGGGAGAAATCGAAATTTGTAAACTATGACTATAACTGCTGCTAATGCAAGACTAACAAATTGAGTTCTCTCGGTCACTGGTGTGTTTAAAATCAATACAGTAAAATTCACCTTCCTCTCTAGCATGCGCCAATAGCTTAGGGGTAGATTCTCCGACTGACGCCAAATCAGCCGAGTTTCGATCCCGGCTTGAAGCAATCAGATGTCTAGCCACACTTGATGGGCTGTGATACAGCCAAACAGTCTGTGGATGACATAGATATATATATATATATTAGTTTATGCAAAACTAGGTAATCCGTATGGGTAGACCCAAGGAGGGTGATATCCAGATTTTCGCAATGTAAATTTATATATATATATATATATATATTTATATTCATGAATCATTCATACAAAAAACAAATATAGAACAATGATTTAAATGGCAGAATACAAATTCCAAACAATATAAATAAGATTTTTTAAACCCCGAACCTGTAATAAAATGAACATATGATCCCATTCATAAATTCCAGTTGCATAAAAGTGTATCATTTTATATTTTTTAAAAGATGTATTCTCGCCATTTAAATTTTAACCCTATATTTTTTTTTTTTGTTGAATGATTCATGAATTTGTAAATTATAATTGCACCTTTAATTGAAATATATATATATATATATATATATATATATATATATATATATATATATACACACACACACAAGTTTCGTTAAAAACAACCGACAAGGGATTGCGATTAAGCTTTTTATTTAATTTTTCTTGTTTGTAAGTGTTTTCTTCTCTGGACACAAAGTGTGCAAAAAAAAAAAAAAAAAAAATGACCACCAAATAAAAATGATTATTGATAATGGCTAAAAGAATAGGCGAAAGCGCTTGAATATACAGTACATTTGAACAGAGGGAGCTTATCGTTAAATCCGATACACTAACTGATGAACTACAAAAATCTAATTAGTTAGTCAAGACCAAATTCTTCTTTTCAATGAAAAAAAAATCTTGTCATAGATCTCCTGAAGTAAATATTACTGTTTGATAAATAAATGGAACTTCTATTCACTTACGAGTAGACACTAAAAATAACGTTGAAAGCGATAAAATTATAAAAAGGATCCCATTTGAGAAGGTTGAATTTGAATAGTTAAAATATTTCCGATCCTGCTAGTCGAGGAATGGGAGAGAATGTCTGAGGTCGCGGAGGTCCGAAACATTCTATGACCCCCCAGAATAGACATCACTGAGAAAGCATTCTAGTGAGGATAATATGCGTATAAAGATGCTAATCCTCACTCCCGAACCCTCATCTCTTCATCCGATAACTATTCAGAATTTGGTAGCCAGAGATCCATCCCTGAAAATTCGTCTTTTTATTACTTGGAAAAAAAAAAAAAAGTTTTAGATGGTGTCCGCGTAAATTTAGCACGCAACAATTCTCGATTGCCCTGGTGAATGATTCTCGATTGCCGTCCTTATTGTTAAACATGCGTTATACTTAATACAATTTATTGTATTGATTATATCAATAATAAAAAAATAAAAAAACATCAATTCCTCAAATGTTCAAATTGTTTACCCCCTCCCCGTCATTCACACACCCCTCTTTACCTACAAAATATTTATTATTATTTATTAAATAATAAAAATTATAAAAAATGTATTATAATAGAAAAAGAAAGGACTAAATAAATTATCAGAATAATTTGATCGCATTTGAGAAGATTGAATTTGAATAGTTAAAATATTTGCAATCATGCTAGCTGTGAATGATCACCCTCAGCTGGGCCCATGGGAGAGAATGTCTGAGGTCACGGAGGCCCGAAACTTTCTATGACCCCAGAACAGACATCACTGAGTAAGCATTCTGGTGAGCATACCATAAATGTGTATAAAAACGTTAATTCCTTCTTCTCTCCGGCACCCCGGCCTTACCTCTTCAACTGATAACTTAGTCAGAACTTGGTAGCCAGAGATCCATCCCTGAAAATTCGTCTTTTTATTAGAGAGTGTGTGTGTGTGTGTGTGTGTGTGTGTGAGAGAGACAGAAGGAGAGAGAGAGAGAAAGAGAAAAAACAGAGAGAGAAAAAAAGAGAGAAAGAGAAAGAGACAGAGAGAGAAAGAGAGAGAGATAAAAAGTGTGAGAGAGAGAGAAAGATATATAGAGAGAAAGACAGAGAGAGAGAGAGATCCGGGTAAATTCAACACACAACAATTCTCAATTGCCGTCCTTAGTGTTAAACATGCGTTATACTCAATACAATTTATTGTATTGATTATATCAATAATAAACAAAACATCAATTCCTCAAATATTCAAATTGTTTGCTCACCCAAGCCATTCACACCCCACTCTTCACCTACAAAATATTTATTATTATTGTTATTTATTAAAAAAATACAAATTATAATAAATGTATAAAATGTAAAAATTATGAAAATAAAAATATCAAAAATTATTTTAATGAATTAATAAAATGAATTCTAATATTAAAGGAATCCTAGAATCACTATTATAATATTGGTAATATCAGACGAAGTAATCGAAGAGCCGAGTTCGAATTCCAGTCGAATCCATTCACTTACGTAATACCCTTGGGAAAGGTAGGAATCCTTTTTTTTGTCCCTCCCACTTATGAGTAAATAGCAAGACAGACCTAGTTCTATAGCCTTGGATGGCAACCGGTCTACCGCAGAAAGAAATGGCAACCGACTGCGCGAAAAAAAAAAAAAAAAAAAAAAAAAAAAAATCTGCCTCATCAGTCATGTATCGAAAGATACATGATCGCCTAAGCGTGTATCTCGCATGGCACATAACTGAATATGATAGTATTTTTAGGAGAAAAAAAAAACAAACAAACTGTCAAACGGAGAAAGATGGCGTGGTTTGGACACGTTACAAGGTACAACAGCCAGTGCAAGACCATCATACAAAGGCGCTGTTGAAGATGGACGTAGGAGAGGGCGCCAACGCAAAAACTGGTTGGACAATGTCAAACAATGGACAGGTATGAGATGTAGAATTGGTGATGGCTGCCATTAATCGACCGTTGTGGAAAAGAGTTAGTGTGGCTTCTGCATTCGGATCCCCCCCTACGATTACAAAAGTCAAGGGGATGATGATGACGATGAATATGACAGTGTTGATAGCAGACACGAAAAAGAAAAAAAAATGCGCCTACAGAAGGTAGCGAAAGAAAGCGAGAAGAAAGGACTAAGTATAAATTCCAAGAAGACAGAATGCGTGGTCATCAGCAAAAGCATGAGCCCAAAGTGCAAATTACAAAATTGGGGATACTAAAATCAAACAATATACTAAAATCTGGGAAGGACGAAAAAGTGCGACACAGATCCGAAAACGTATTGGGATGGGCAAAGATTCATGCCAAAAATTAAGCAAAGTATTAAGAGACAGAAAAAAAAAAAAAAATCGTTAGAAGCAAGGAAAAGGGGATTGAAATGATACGTGATATCTGTCCTCCCATATGGCAACGAATGGTGGACAATCTCATCAAAGATGAAGAGGAGAAGTGAAGCAACAGAAATGTGGTTCTTCAGAAAGATGCCGAGGATACCATGGAGCGAACATGTGAGCAATGACGAGGTTTTGGAGAGAATGGAAACGAAAAGGAAATATACTTAACATCAGGAAGAGGCAATTGAAATTTCTAAGACAAGTAATGAGGAAAGAGGACTGGGAAATTTGATACTCACAGGACAGTTTGAAGGCAAGAGATTGTTTTGTTTGATGTTTCGTAATTGACCAGATATGTCTTCTTGAGAAAATCTGAAGGTGTTTTTTCTTCTTTTTTTTTTAAATGCATAGATATAGATAATCTATAGATAGATAGATAGATAGATAATCTATAGATAGATATCTATATATAGATAATATAGATAGACATAGATAATATAGATAGATATGAGTCAAAGAAGAGAACGGTGAATAACCTATCCAATTAGATTTTGTAAAATGGATGACAGATCAGAGAGAGAGAGAGAGAGAGAGAGAGAGAGAGAGAAGAGAGAGAGAGAGAAAATAGTAAAATGACAATCGTTATTAAAAGCTACACAAAATATAAGAAATTGTGGAGAATCGTGATCGCCCACGTCCTTATGTGACATGGCACACGTAAGATTTAATCATCTTCAGTCATAGACAATAAATAGATAGAGCATCTTGTTAAAGCTGTATTCCTCAGATGTTAGATGACACCGATTTACAACGGGCCCGGTTTTTTTTTCTTTTTAACCAGAAACAGAAAACGCTCATCTCCTCTAAAATTGCTTGCCATATGCTTCTCTCGTAAATCATAGATTATAACTTCACGTGGCAAAGAGAGTTAAAGAAAATAAAGAAAGAAAGAAAAAAAAAAAAAAAAAAGAGTGAGAGGAAAAAAAGAAAACAATTTTGAAAAAAGTATTTAACGTCTCTAAAATATGAACATTGCATATGAATTGAATTCTAAAATTATCTCCATTAACTGTAATAAAAGAAATGCTAAAAAGGTGTAATTTAATTCGCTAATATGCGTCCAATGTATCTAAATTTTTTTCTTAATTATTATTTATATACTAGACCGGTACCTGTCGCTTCGCTGACGGCAAGATGATCAAATTTCGGATCTAAATTTTTTGTCCATTTAAAATACTAGATTTGTTAGAAAATTCAGGTAAAATACAGGTACTTCTACTAATTCGCTGAAAAAAAAAAAAAAAAAAAGACACCATAGCATGATGAAAAAAAGGCCCCAGACTTGATAAAACAAAGTTTTATCGTCAATATATTTATGTTATTATTAAGAGGGAAGACCAAAGGATGTTTTTATTATTGAATTAAATTTTTTTTAATCCTTTCTAGTACGTTCGAAATTTTGGTTAAAAATAGTTTTTCTCTTTTGTATATATATTTTTTGTTTTTTGCGTCTGCGGTCGACCAAAGATTACTATGAGTATTTTTTAGCGCTTCTTTTCAAAAAAAAAAAAAAAAAAAAAAAAAAAGAAAAAAAAAACATTAATTTGGAAATTCTTGAAAAAAAAAAAAAAAAAAAAAAATTGTCGGATTTTAATTAAACTTTCATGACTTACTCACAAATGAACGAAATTATGATTTTTTTTATAGAAAATACATGGTATATATATATATGTGTGTGTGTGTGTGTTACCCCCGTCGCTTAATTTTTATGAAATTTCGAGAAATAGTTATTAAAATCTGATTTTATTAAATACTAGTTCGGTATTTGTTGCTTTATTATATTACTGAATAATTTCCGAAAAAGGGTTATAAATAAATAAATAAATAATCTGTTTCCAAGTTTTTGACTTTATTGCTCGACAGAGGGTAGGAATTCTCCAGACTGGGAGGGAAATGTATTATTGCAATGTCTTATTTCCATCGCCGTCAAATTATATATTAAAAAAATCCAGACGACACGCTTTTAACGGATGTTAGATTTCATTGAAAAATACATCCCTACCCACTACCAAAACGTAGCAATAACTGATACATTAAAATATAGACATATTGAACACCCAGACACCCCTCGTCTGGATTCATCTGTAACCTTGGAAACATGAATTATGATTTTAGTTGTGTCTTTAAATCCCAGTAATTTTAAAAGTTACTCCAAAATTCGCTTGAGGATGAAATGGAACTAATGTCTAATTTAATTACAAAATTAAATTCGGGATTTTTAGCTTCCATTTTTGAAACATGGTTAGAACTATGTAGCGAAAAAAAACATTTTAAATCAATTAATTTATAATATTAATGCTCTGTAAATTTACATTGAGCACTATTTTGTAAAAATATCTATAAGAACACCGGATTATATATCTTACTGTTCTTATATATATATATATATATATATATATATAAAAATATAATGGCGTAAATGCGGAAGACTCGCAAAACACAGGTATACGTATATACATTTAGTCAGTGTCACAAGGTTGGGCGATCATGTATCTTTTGATACATAACTGACGGGGCAGAGGATTTTTCCCGCAATACGTTGTCATTTCTTCCTACGATAGACAGGTTGCCAATCAAGCCTAAAGAAACCAGTCTGTCCTGCTATTTAACTCATAGATGGATTCATACCTTTCCCCAAATGTTATTTGTGCCTAAGTAATTATAACGAACTCTACTGGGATTCGAACTCGGCTCTCCGAGTTCGCATTTCTGAGACGATATTCATTACATCACAACGCACAATTTACGTAAATTTCAAAAACACACACAAACAGAGTTTGATAGACAGACAATCAGCTATTCTCATATAATAAATATTTTTTTGAAGTTATGACATAAGTTTTTGGTGTGTGTTGGGTGGGGACTTGAATTATTTTCAGTCTTGGAAACCTCCAAAAAAAAAAAAAAAAAAAAATGGACGTACACACAGAAAGTCGATTTTTATATTTTTACCGAGACAAGGGAGTAATAGAATTCGTTTATTAATACAGGATATTAATACAGGTGTACATATGTACATTACACAAGTCAAAAATGATTTAATGACGGTAACGAACCTAAGTATACTGCCTTAAAGAATAAACGTTATCTAGAGAGGAAACACGACGAGGGTAAATTGCACCTCTTCCTGTGGCCTAATCAGAGTCCTGACCTTTAACACAATGGAAAACCTTTGCGTGATAAATGGGTAAGCGTACCCGTAATAGGAAAGTTAACACAGAAGATGAGCTTTTTCGCGAATTAAAGAAATGCAGGCGAAATCTGGTGAAGAACTTTGACTTACTAAAGAATTTAGTCTATAGCATACCACAAAGAATTAAGGCCGTTATTAAAGCAAAAAGTTACCCAACAAAATACTAAATCATTTTTTTGATTTGTATAATGTACATATATACACCTGTATTAATATCTTGTATTAATAAACGGATTCTATTACTCACTTGTCTTGGTAAAAATACAAAAATCGACTTCCTACCAGTGCGTCTATTTTTTTGCATCGTACTGTAATAAAACTTCTAAGAATGACAAAAAATTATTTTAAAAAGAAATGTGTTCCCTTTCTTGATTCACTTAGATCAGATTTCACATTTTTGTTGGCTTTCACAGAACTGCGGACAATAAACACACTCTTTGGTCTTCTGCCAGTCATTAAAAACGGGAACTTAAGATTCACAGACGAATGTCGCACTAGGGCAGGTCGATTTTGGGACAGTGGTATTGCACTCAGTTTGAAAGTTGGGGTTTCACATGTTAAATAACGACACAAAATATTTTTGTTCAAAATCCTTACAGATTTTTTTGAGGAAACAAATTTAAAGATTACGTTTAGTTCCAAAAATTTGTAGCAATGGAATTTGATTTAGTTGATCAATGAAAACCTTATAGAACTGCCTTATAAAATTTATAATTTACTGAAGCTTTACAAGTTGTATATAGGCAAGATGCCTAGCACAAGCCCATTGTGCCATTAAATATGACCTTTATTTATTTCAAAAGCAAATTATACTGAACAATTTAGCTATATTATGATGTATATTATACAGTGCAGTAGTTTTAGTGCAAATTTCAATAAAGAATGCAAATTTAAAACATGTCATATAATTTGTGCCCAGCAGTATTATGGTGTTAAATAAACTTATCTATTTTTGTTTTAATTATGATTTAACAAATCTTATTGAATAGCCTGTTTGTAATCTTTTATAATTATTTATTTACTAGCAGTAGAGACCGGCGATGTAACAGTAAGAGATAGATCAAGTATCGACCATCATAAAGACTGAAAAATAAAATTGACAAAGATTATTGTTTAAGGTTGACGGACACGCATGTCTTAATTAGTTTTTTTTTCTTTTTTTTACGAATTGGTCAAACCCAAACTCAAACAAAACATTGTTTTCAATCATTATGAGTCTACCGATTGAATAGAATTTTATTATAAACAATTGTCTTGTAAATGGAATTTTTAAAGCATTCTGAATGGAAAAATAAAAGAAAAAAAGTGTGCAAGACAATAAGAAACACTACCTGCCAAAAAAAAAAAAGTTTTTTTTGAAATCAGTTGAAAAAATGTAAAATCCGATCCCATATATAAACGAACACACACACACACACAAACAACCTGGGTTTTATAATAAGTATAACTCGATATGAGTTGTCCCACTTTCATTCTCGTGATGCCTCTTAATCGTATTTTTAAATTGATTGCGTGCAAAAACAATTGTTTTTCAATTTTGGCGCTATCAGAACCACCGCAAAATAATTTTACGTAGTCCTGTGAAGTTTTGTTGAAATCGGTTGAAAAATGTACGAAATCCGATCCAATATATAAACGTACAGACACACAATCTGCGTTTTATAATAAGTAAGATTTATTATATTTATTCATTTACCAGTTTTTACTTTTCGAATACAGTAGAAAATTGCATATTTTGCTTATGTTGATTCATAATTAGAATTCTGGTTTGAATATATTTTTAGTTCAATTAATTTTATTTTGATTTATTCTTGAAACAGTAAAATTTTGAAGTCAGTCTGTGAGCAAAAAATCTACGGAAATTAGGTATTTCTATACATTTTTTTTCATACGATCTTTAAAACTAAGCGCTCAAAAATTGGTAAAAGCTTTGAATCTAACTTTTGGTGTTAATACTTATCACGTCAGATCCCAGCTTTCACAACAAATGCAATGTTGATTTTCTAAAAGAAAGAGAGAGAAAAAAATCAACCAGCCCTCATATCGCACTTTTTCTTTTTCAAATTCGTGTCACTCCGAAGGAATTTTCCGAACTCAATCGTCAATTCACCCTTACGATTCCAATCTGTATCCAACAATGAAGCAGTTCACTTTTCTGCACTACCTGACCCAGAGACTGAACTCGTGGCTTTTAAGGGGCCAGTGCTTTTATCTCATAGGCTAAGAAATGAAATGTGTTTTCTACCAAAAAATAAATATCCTTTTCAAACCACTTTCTAAAGTAATATTTATAGAATTTCTTCCGGTTGTAGCTAAAAAAAAAAAAAAAAAAATACGAAGATATTAATTCCTATTTTTTTTTCATTTTCCTCAAAAAAATATTTCAATAGTTAATAATAATAATAATAATAATAATGGCATAAGGAATGCGAGTTTTACATAAGAATAAAAACAATTTTACGTCCTGAAATCAATACGCGGTGCTAGATTGCCAGCAAGGTCTTGCCATTTTACAGTTGAAATTATTATATAACCCGAGCTGTAACGTTTATGCTAACAGTTTCTTCTCTCGCACTTCTTGCTTGTGGAACTTTATTCCGGCTTCTTGCTTTCCAGTCGACCCTTCAAAACTTTAAATCTAATATCA